AGGAAGGAAGGAAGGAAGGAAGGAAGGAAGGAAGGAAGGAAGGAAGGAAGGAAGGAGGGTACCCTATGTTCTCAGCTGGGAAACCAAAAAAGGGACAAAGTATAGACTGCAGAGCTTGTAGTAAGATGTTGTTTTATTTAATAACCTAAAGTCTGAATGTTGATAATTCTTTTCAATCAGGTCACTGATAAAAAGGTGACTCAAGGTGAACTGCAGCTTTGGGAGACAAAGAATTCCACAAGATAGTTTTGTAAAATGAGGAAAAGATGTGGATATGGTAAAATATCTTGTACAGTTCTCCTTCATTATGAGGCATCCAAAATCTTTTGACTGCAATAGTTTCCTTATCCTTGTTCATTTTTAAAATATATTTTAATTATAATGTTTCAATACAGTATACCCCCCAAAAAAGTAAGAAAAGGAAAAAAAGGAATGAAAAGGAATGAAAAGAGAAGAAAACATACATTCTGCCCTTCTTTCTATCAAGTAATTATCATATTCTTTTCCCCATCCTCTTTGGCCCTTTTTAATCCCCAAATCCAGAAATCATCAATTCTATCTTTTCTTCTTTCAACAAAAAGTCCTTATAAGGTTTCCAGTCTTTCAAAAAAGATCTGGTCATTTTTTGTCTGACCATACTGGTGAGCTTTGCTATTTCTGCAAATTCAGTTAATTTTATAATCCAGTCTTCCAGTGTAGGTATTTCATTCGTTTTCCAATTTTTTGCATGCGATAATCTTGCCACAGTTACCATATGCAATATTAATTTCCCATATTTCTTTTCTAATTTCATGCCCAACCTAATAGGAATAATCCCTGTTTGTTCATGATGCAGCAGCTACCAGCTCCCTTTAAGGCTGTAAAAATAGCTACTGACAATATGATACTGACACAACAGCTGTGCCATCATAAAATTTATACATTTCTGGTAGTACAATATTTGTCTATACAGAATAAATAGATACAGAATTGTAGGAGTTACTTATACCTATGCATCTTGGTTTTTCCATCCAATGGCCATTTTCACAAGTCACTTTTGGAGATCCTTCCATTCTGTGGTAACTTTGGCATTGATAAGTCACACTTTCGCCTGAGAGATATTGCACCTTGGCTATCTCTAAGATGTCTCCGTTGTCCAGAGGAGGTGGGCGTCCACAAGTTTCCCCAAGATCTACATTACATGCAGAAATATTGAGCAACACCTATCATAATTACAAATATTCTAGTGTATCTATGCACACGTGCATGCACACACATACGCATACACACACGTGCACATATTTATAAGCTTATTCAATTTTGTCCATCAGGACAATAAGGAACTACATTGGAAAAAAAAATAAGAATTCATTGTCTGAAAAAGAAACAATGTCATTCAGGTTGTTTAACTCGAGGGCAGACAACGGTCATACCTGTTTCAACTATAGCAGCATGTTCTTAGTATCTCAGTCAGACCTGTGAAGAAATGAATAGCAGTTGCCCTGGCAAAAATGGGATATCTTTGCAGGGATGTCTGAATTTTACCATTAGCTTTTTAATAATAAGTATGTAGATCCAGGGACTATTTGAAGAATCCTGTAATAAGATTCTAGTTGTTAACAATGGATTCAAGAGAAATTTACAGTGTTGTACAATGTTGATTCTGAAAGTCTTCTGGTTCCTTAAAAAAAAAAAAATCTGTGCAATTTCCCATGTGTTCATCTGTTACAATCCTAGAGATTTTCCGTTCTTTGAATATGTGCACGTGATTCACTTGTTCGTCTATATACAATATGTATGTGTGTGTGTATATTTTTGTTGAAGAACATTTGTTGGCAAACATTGAAGAAAAAATGAACTGCGTAACCTTGCATCATAATCTTCATCTTGTACATTTGAACAGTTGTATACTTGAAGGTTTCTTATGGAATTTCATTGTTTGAATTTCAGCCACATGGTCTTCACTTGCTCAACGTTTCCCAAATCTAGATTTGTCATGAACGGAGCCAATTTCCTTGAATTTTTTTCATCCAGTTGTAAATTAAATTTCTGTGGGAACCCTCCTTCTTATAACAGGAAGCCAATTTTCTTCTTAATGCTGTTGTGGATTTGAGTTCAGCTAACCAGAGAACACAGTTGATTTTTTTCTTCAAAGTTTGCCATCTTCTATCAGCAGGACTGAAACAAAAAATTAAAAATGTATTATTCCAAAATCACAAAACTAAATAAGTTTTGGATTGGGAGGCTCTCCTCACAGTCACTCATGCCCTAGTCACCTCCAGATTGGACTACTGTAATGCACTCTACATGGGGCTGCCCTTGAAGAGTATCTGAAAGCTTGAACTGGTGCAGAATGTGGTGGCACGAGCAGTTATGTGTGCTCCTAGAAGAGCACATATTACACCTCTACTTTGGGAGTTGCATTGGCTGCCGGCTTGCTTCCAGGTCCAATTCAAGATGCTGGTTTTGACCTTTAAAGCTCTTCATGGCATTGGGCTGGGTTATCTGAGGGACCGCCTCTTCCCAATCACATCAGCCATTAGATCCGTCAGGGAAGGCATGCTACGCATTCCATCGGCCAAGGACTTGCATTTGGTAGATCCCAGGAGGCAGGCTTTCTCTGCCACGGTTCCCACCTTGTGGAATATTCTCCATCCTGAAGTGAGGCTCACCCCTTCCCTGGTCTCATTTAGGAAGTCCTTCAAGACCTGGTTGTGTCACCAGGCCTGGGGGTCTTTGGGAACTGGGAATATTCTTAGATGACTCCACTGTAATTGATATTCTGTTCTCTCTGTGCAGTTTGGATATTTTAAAATCTAATTTTTTTTAACATTTGTGATAAAGTTTTGATTTTAATAATAACTTTTATCTTTTATAATGCCTGTTTTTATTCACTTATTTTATTTTAATTGTATGCCACCCAGCTTTGTTTGAGATGGGCTGCTACATAAATGTGATATATGAATGAATGAATGAATGAATGAATGAATGAATGAATGAATGAATGAATGAATG